CTCTCTCATCTTTTTAAGTGGGAGAACTTGCACAATTGGTGGCTGACTAAATACTTTTTTGCCCCACTGTATTAGACTATCGGTAAAGTTCTAGAAAGAGCAACAAGAATCAGAGAGAGGTATAAGATATCCATTACAGTGAAAAGCTGGCAATTATTTTCCTCTATTTTCAAGTTTCCCTTTATGAACAATAACATAATTGCCAATTAATTCTCACAATTGAAATGAAACTATATATTAAACCAGCCTTCAATAATCAAGTTAAAAAAAATTAAGATGCCAGTTTGTACTGTATGATATCTCCCTTCAAACAAGTTCAAAATTGTACTTATACATTTTTTCTGTGCTCTGGAGGATTTTCTGTCTTCTACAAACATTGGTGTTACAAACTTGAGTTTCAGAATCCAGTCATATCTTAACATTCTACTATATGTACCTCTAATCAGATATTAACATTTATGCTGGAGAAATACAAACAAACCCTCAAACCAATAGATAATATAAATCTTTTTTGGTGAACGCAAAGGATTTATGAGCAGATAGTCTAACTTCACTTACTTCAGAAAAGTTCTAGCCATTTCATCGATATTTGTGACCCGGATTATAAACAATGGTTTATGCTTAATACTTTCAGGAAGGCCAGGATGATGAAGGCTCAAAAAAGTTAGGTCTGCTCCCTGTAAGCAATAATATAAGAGTCATTTAAAGGACATTCTATTTTTAGTCTATTCCACAAAATATCCCTACAAACTTAAATAGGTGAACTATTTCAAATATATCTTACTTTGAGAAACTAGAAAGCACAAAGATGCAATACCAGACAAAATCTTCTATGTTATCATCCAGTTTTCTCCAAGGTCACTAACCTCAATGGCCAGTATTTACCTACAGTTCTTCTTCAGTTGTCTTATCTTTTCTGCTGCACACCTGCCCAAGTATACATGAATATTTTGCTCATTCTCCCTTAATTCCAAATGGTCTCCTCTAAGTAAGCCACTCTTCCCTCACAATGCTCTCATTTACTAAAAGAACACAGTGTTGAGCTTCAGGGTTCATAGACCATGGTCGCTGAAGCTCAACACTGCCCAAAAGATACTGGCCATGAAAGCCTACACCAGTAAATTCCTCAGTCTTAAGATGTTACAGTACATGTTTTTTTGATTCTCAACACTGTGATAAAAATTTGTTTTATGTTTTACTAAATTAAGTAAGCATTAATCACTTTAAGAAGCAATGCAATCGTAATCAATTAATCAGAAAACACAAGTTAATCTTTTCACAAACTTCCTCTGTCTGCCCTCTTGTGGCAAAGAGAAGATATGTAGCCCTGAAACAATAAAAAGACAAGTAATTTTTTCCCAGCTTGCAACTAAAGAATTAGAGTAAGATCTTTCTGAACGTTGCTTTGGTTATTGATCTGAATAATGTTATCAAAATAAATGTCTATCCGCATTCCATGAGTATCTTAAATCATGATTGGAAAAATAGGTCAAATTTATAATCCATCTCACAGTGAACACTCAATATATATATATATAAAAAAATGAATGCAACAATTGAAAATAAGATATCATTACCTACTAATTACTGAGAACTTAATCTTGAATCAGCCCACAATGTTCTGGTGAGCCCTGCCTATTTTCCCTGAAGCAAATTTGATTAGCTGTTAGTAGCAGGGAAAAGATCTGTTCTAGCACTGGCATGGTGGATTTTGGTCAGGTCAGGATAATTAAAAAAGGGGGTTTTAACCTGTTCCTATCCAATGATTTGAAACAGAATCACTAGAAGGCAAGGGATTATTTGCAACATTTCCATATTGTCAAGTCCATCACACTCTTCTTAGCCCCTGTTTAAAGGGAAGGAGCATAATCTTTCCTTAGTGTGAAGAAGCTTTTGTGCTCCTCCATTCCAGCTCAAAAGGCCTCTGAAAACAAGACTGCACCAGCTATATGCAGGGCAATTCAAACTTTTAAAAGGTATTTTCTCCCCTTACTCCAGCAAAAACAGTCTATCTCTCTCCACCCTCCAGGGCCAGCTGATATGTGCATATACCTGCATGGCTCACACCCTCTATCTAGCAAGAAATGCAGCTCCTAGACCCAAAAAGTTGCTCATACTTTCCTCTTATCCGAACTTACAGTACTTACAACATAGAAATCATTAAGACTGTATGGTTTTCCTTTTCTTTGTCCACGCTGATGCATATAAATACCCTTCAAAATGAATGGTAGAGCATTTGTTCTGCATGAAATTAAAACAAAAACCTTGAAGTGATTTTAAGAAGTACTAATGGCTAAATAAAATTCCGAGCAGACTCTTACATATTTATTTATATATCAAATTTGCCACTGTCTATCTTGTTGAAACAACTCTGGGCGGTTTACAAAATGGTTAAAATCAATTAAAATCACAATATACAATAGTTTTAAATAAATAGCAAATAAATAGATCCAAGGATAGATGTTAACATTGGCAGACACTCAGGGAGCATCATCAAGCCGCCAGCCACCCCCAGGATTGGGTAAGATTGTTGTCACCCCACGCAAGCTGGCAGAGCCAGGTCTTTAATCCTTTCTGGAAAGCCAGGAGG